TATATATATATATATGAAAGGGAAGGACTTGTTGTGTTTGTGAACTCAGAGGGCAGGCTGACCCAGTGTGTGGGTCACAGTGTTTTAGAAACATTTTGAAGTTGTCAGATCCTGCTGGTTGATCAGTACTGGTGACCTTTGAACCTACACTTCTGGGTCAGACTGATTCTGATCTTTGAGGGAAAGATTCAACAGTACAATTTGTCCATTGTCCACCCCAACAGCAAAAGTCACAAAAAAAATGATTTGGTGAAATTTTTATTCTGTTTTACGTGAATCATTGTTTCTGTACATAAACCAAATGGACGCTGCTGAARATCTTTTCTGATTTGCTCATAGGTGACGTTATAATTACTGAAATTTATTTTTTTCATGACAGTGTCATATCATCTCTATAGACATGACCATACTTTACCTTAACATTAAAAAAAATAATAATAGAAACATGGAATTATTCGGTGCTTTTTTAAAATTTATGTCACTTTTGCTAAGCAATGTTATTATGCATTCATAATCATGTCCTGAGTTGTTTTATATTTCCTGCTGATGTATGGCAAGAATACAATGAACTTGCAACCTGTCCAGGATGTACCCCGCCCCTCGCACAGTGGCTGTTGGATATGGGCACCAGTGACCCCCGTGACACTGAAAGGAAGAAGCGGGTATAGATAATGGATGGATATAGCAAGAATACACAAATAATCCATTTCACCTAAAGAAGTTATTTAAATAGATTTCATTTACCCACTGAAGCTTCACAACACATTTTAGCCCTTTTGCTTTCAGAACTGCACAAGGACATTTACACAAAGCTGACCATTTAGAACAGAAGCTTTTCAATGAATTGAAGGCAAAATAACAAGTAGGCTGTAAATTATTAGCTTTTCAGCCCAATGCTTTTGGAAAAACATTTTTATTATCTATTCAGTTAAAGCTGTACAACACTTCATGACTTTTTTTAAACCAATAAACTTCTCAAATATTCTAGGGTCTTTAAAAATACTTTCTTTATATTTCCTCAAAAAAAGGTCACATTGTTGGCCAATCTGTTTGAGGCACACGTTTGCTTTTTTTAAATCATGCTGAATTATTTATTACAGAAAAACAAAAATACTTGATCCTTGAAAATGCTGGATGCACTTAGTACTGGCTTAAAAAATTGTTTTCTAGAGCCAAATCATTGGAGCATATTCACTGTACCATCTCATGTAGTCTCCTTTTTACTTTTACACTAAGTCCCCAAATAAAATGATGCAGAAAATTGCATTTGCTCATTGTGAATTTAAAATATATTTCTTTAAATATAACAAATATTCTTTAATTTTGTTCAGGTATTAATAAAAAAAAAATGAGGTATAAATTTCACCACAGTTCAGTTTATTGTACAATCAGGTAAGTTCACATGTAATGGTCCACTGCACCAGGTAAATCAAACTGGCACCAGCATGAAACAATCACATTGGTATTGTCACCCATTAAGGTGATATTATTTAGACTTTATACAAATTCCTTTAGAAGGACAAAAGTTGGAACAGGTTTAGTGTTTGGCTCTGAGTCTCTTGTAAGAAGATGACACTGGTCTTCAAAAACATGCTTTTTTTTCTTAACAGCATCAAACTATGTACACATAAAAAGTATTACAAAATTTATTGAAATAGTGCTGTTTGTTGGAGAGTGAAGGTCACGTGTGAGGAAAATTTCAGACGACAGGAAAAACAAACAAAAAAAACGGTGGAACAAATCATGTTGCGAAAAGGTGACGATGTAAAGGCATTTCAAAAAACAGTGTGTGTCCAGCACACACAAACACGTAAACTCCCTCACACACACACACACTCCCTGAAGAGGAATGAGGATAAAGGATTTTGGAGACCCTGGCTGGCTGTAGTTTTTTTGTTTTGTTTTTGTAAAAGTTAAATTTACTTGCACCTACACGCACACAAACATTCAGGTTGACGTTCAAGTTTAAGATGTGATTTAGATGAAGAGATAAAACCCAAAGAGATGAAAAACAATTAAAGACAAGTAACTTTTTTTATGCCACCAGTCAAAGGGACAAAACCACTTCAAAGTTCCTGAGCAGCCGTGCTTTAAGCTGAACTGGAAGCTCTTTCGGCGCCACTGTGGCTGGTAGCATGAACAAATCAAAACCGCGCTAAAAAAAAAAACGTAACCAGTGTCTGGCTGGTAGCTGGTGTTTAGTTCCCAGCCTGGTGACTGTGTCAGCAGGGAGGAGGAGGCGTGCAGAGGAGGTGCTACGAGCACTTCCACACACAGACTGCCAGGCTTCCTCCAAAGAACATGTAGAGCAGGTTTTTCACTTCATGCGTGACCTCGAAGCCGAAGCCTTCACCTATCACCACGTGCCACGAGCTGCCAAACCGCTTGTCCATGGTCTCCTTGATCATCTTTGCAGCACTCTGGGAGAAAATGTGAAAAAAATAATAACAACATCAAATCAGGAGAATATAAAAACAAAACCCAAGCATGATACTGTTATCCTTGTTATGTACAGTAATAAAAAATAAAAATAAACAAACCTCATTGTTGGTGGCAAACTTTTCACAGGCTGTTACACAAAGATCCATGGTCTCAACCTTCATTTCGTCTGGCATGTCTGTGTGCTGAAGACAAACAAACTGTAAGGAACAGTTTCCTTTACCCTCTTTTATCTGTTGTTTTAAATGAATGTGAGTTAGCTAAAAACATGCAATTCTTATTTTTATTATTTTTAAGAAAACTTCAGATACTTTTCAAAAACAAGGCATTAAATTGTTATATTTGCTGTTTGCTACATTGCTTAATGTTTTTAGGAAACTACATGAATACATGATGCAGACAGAGCCAACAGCTATACTTTAATTAATTTAGTTTTGTAATCTGTGATGACTATTAAAAATAGTTTATAATTTTAATAATAAATGTGTTTGTGAATGTTTTTGTACAGTGCCCTAAGTTGACTTTTGTAGTGAATTTGTGCTGTATAAATAAACTGAACTGAACTGAATAGATATGTAACAAACCAATGTAACATGCAACTTTCATAAAACACAACGAGATCAGTTGAGAAAACTGTAACATTTCACTTCAGCATGTCACCAACTCACGTGTAGGATGCAAATAAAACGTAAAATATTTCCACCTGGCATATTAATGGTGGTAAACACATTATTCACCAGTAATGTGATTACCAAAAATTTGTATTTAAGCTGTTAGATTTATGTTAATTAAACCATTTTTTCATAGCAACTTGTTATATATATATAACAAGTTTTAAAAGTAGAACTAAGTATATGTTTATCTAATTGTGTTCGAGAATATGTGGTAGACTAATAAAATAATAAACAGGCACAATGTTTGAGAAAAGCTAGTTTCTATAGATTTAAGTTAGAAATTATTAATACTGACCTTTTCAGCTGCTATAAAATTATAAAATGCACTAATAGCACCAACTAGGTTTTTCCTATGTTTTTATTTTTATTATTTTTTTGGCCGTATGTAATTAAAGCTTTTACCTAAACGTCTGTTTAAACTTGCTAATAATTCGTAGTTTGCTTATTCAACAAAACAATTTTATTATGCTCTGTGACCTAACATTTTTCAACWAAGACAAGTTATTTTTATAGCTTTATCCTTCAATGATCTAATGTTTCTGTCATGATGTTCTTACTCTGATGAGAGGAAAGCTGTGCAGTCTCTTATAGTCCGCCTCTTCTTTCTTTCCCTCGACAGTTCCAGCCATTCCGATCCCTGCAACAAATCATTGTGGTCTTAATTTATTAAATCTACCTATAAAAGTAATGAGGTGCACCAAGAGTTTCATACTGTTGCATCTTCTGTAGCTAACAACATGCTATTTATTACATGACCCAAATAAAATAACGATTACGTCAGCTTCTACCAGCTAACAACAACGTAGTTTACAACAACACAGACTGTTTCGGGTTTRAATAATGTCGCCACAATATGTAATTTGTAAAGTTTTATCTGGTTTGCAGCACGAAGGGAATCAGGTTTCACTCGTAGCTAGCTTTTTAGCTTAGCATGTTAAAGCACACACAGCTGATGTTGAAGGAGGTTTTTCTGAACAAAGACATCCTATTCAAATCCACAGTCGTGATATAACAACTTAGCGGTATGTTGAAGGTTAAATTGAAACGCAAAGCGTTACAAAACACTTTACTTACGWGGCGTTTGTCCGGCTAAAACTTCTTCTGATTCACTCTAACATCGGTTGTTAAGGAGACAAGTCAAATGCACAACACAAAATCCCACCCCGCTTCTGCCAACACTGGTTTCTATTGGTTCAGAATTCGGTCAATCAACACAAAACGGGACGTCGCCTTAAACAGCCCCTTAAAACAAACGGACAATATAAACGTTCCTATGTGTTTCTCTCTTTTTTTTTTTTTTTTACTTCTGAAATAGAATAATTTTAGCGGATAAATCTGAATGATAAAAACACGATTTGATTGTTTGTAAAAGGATTACATAATATGTTTTTATTATCATCAAATAACTTCATACTGAGTGAGCTGATTTAGTGCAGTTTATGTGTTTCTTTTAATGCTGGTCTCATTCAAAAGATGAAATTTTAGATTTTATTTTTACTTGCTGTTTTTAATTGTCATCATTGCTGTGTGTTACAGTGTTCTGTTTTAATTTTCTATTTGTTGTGAAGCACCTTGATGAAAGCTTATCATTTTAACTGTGCTACACAAATAAAGATGACTTGACTTGACTTGACTTGAAATAAAAAGAAAAAAATTAATGCTAATTGGGAAAATATATTATTGCATAATATTTCAATAGTCATTCAGTCAATATTTATTTATTCCTTGAGAGGTTCTATCAGAGGTGTAAAGTAACTTAGTACAAATACTTTGTTGCTTTATTACATGTCTGTGAAGTAGAAATTTTGGTTATACTCTACTTGAGTACTAATTATTTTAGCCAACTTATTACTTGTAGTATTTGCATGTTTACACAATTATCTGTAATTTCTACTTCTTACATTTTCAAAAAAGATAAGAAGTAGATAATCATTATTACAGTCATTTTTGGCTTGTTTTGATTGTGGCTTGTTATAGCAAAAAAAATTAAATGAAAACATATCCAAATATGATACCTACAAGATAGATCAACTTTGAGTGTGGTTGGAAGAGAAGTACAAATACAGGGGTTAAACAATGAAACAGAAACACCTGGTTTTAGACCATAACATCCCTTTCAGACAGCTTCCTCTTGCATCCACAGTTAATCCTGTTGGATGTGGTTGGYCCTTCYTGGTGGTATGCTGACATTACCCTGGATACTGTGGCTCTTCATACATCACAAAGACTTGCTGTCTTGGTCACAGATGCTCCAGCAAGGTGTGCACCAACAATGTGTCCTCTTTTGAACTCTGGTATGTCACCCATAATGTTGTGTGCGTTGCAATATTTTGAGCAAAACTGTGCTCTTACCCTGCTAATTTAATTTTTTACACTGGTCCAATTTAGCCATGAAACCGTCCACGCTAAAATGACAGGTGTTTCAGTTTCATTGTCTAACCTCTGTAGACACCATTCTGACATCCTATTGGTTTGTACGATCATCACACCTGCACAAATCATGTCACACTCCAGCAGGACATATCAGACAGCCTTGTATGAAGATAACTGAGAGATATAAGGAAGTTGAAACAGGTCGCCTAGTGCATCTCAATTTCTTCAACATTAACAATTTAATAGAACATGTAGTCATCATGGCCTTTAGAAAAATGATTTTGAGGAGGTCACCTTCCAGTAAATGTTAGTTTTGACATTCAAACTGCTCGGTTTTACTTAAAACTTAATACTTTTAATACTTAAGCACATTTTATATCAGAAATACCTTTGATACTTAAGTACAGTAAATGTCAGATAGATTTTAAGATTGTAACTTTCACCAAATAAATTTTATGTTAAGATACTTGTACATTTACTCAAGTCTCACTTTGAGGTACTTTATACAAGACTGATATCTACTGCCCTTTAAAACAACCAAAAGGTGATCAAAGTGTTTCATGCTGAAAAAGTAAAATGAACAAACAAATTAACAAATAAACAAATAAAAAAATAAAAAAATAGATAAATAAATAAATAACAAGTATCCTGTCTGAATATATATATTTAATTGATTGAACACTGATTTTAAATCAGTGTTTATGGRTGGAGTTTAAATCTCAAGGAAGCTTGTTCCAAAGTCTGTGTGCAGCAAGTGAAAAAGCCTGTTTATCCCATTGTTTGTGTTTTTATTAAAAATGTATTAGTTGACCCTAAAATCCTCTCTTGCCTTCTTAAAGCTGTTAAATCTGCTAAATATTTTTGCACAAGGCCATTAAGAGCTTTAAATACAAACAATAAAAGTTTAAAATCAATTCTAAAATTAACTTGAAACCAAGGAGAAGGAATAAAACTGCAGTGATATTTCACATTATTAAACATATGCTTAGCCTTCACAGACATGTAATAAACTACTATTAATATGTACTACTGTTATCATGTTATTACAGCTTACTACAATAGCATATTCTACTTAGAATTGTGTTTTTCAGTGTTTATCTCTGTTACCTGTCATAGTCATGGGTTTGCATTGCAGTTCAAGTAAAAAACTTGTTTTTTTGCAGTAGGTAAATGTGTTAACTTGTTGAGTTTACAATGAGAAAGGACCCAAAAATGTAATGGAAATAAATTCAACGATGTAAAGGAAAAATAAACAAACAAATAAATAAATAAATAAATAAATAAATCTGTTATTTGTGCAAGCTGCCCATGCACAGAATATGGCTTGCATTCAAGCACTCTCACACAAAATCCCCTGGTCAGTGATTTTACAAAAATTTGAGCAAAGTCTGTGAAAACCAGTAAAAAAAGGACTTGACAGTAGAGGTTACACAGAGGTTAATGAGTCAACAATATATCCATCAGATTTGTAGTCACAAACTGCCATCCCCGTTTAAATGCTGCAAATGATAAAAAAGGAAAAAGTTAAGAGAAGTAGTAGAGTTTAATATTTGCAGTAAAAAATTAATAATTGAGATGTTAGAGGTGGGTGGGAGGTCACTGAAGACTTCCATAATAAAATGCCTCCCTCAGAGAGAGGTAATGAAGGTAGGCTGTATCTATAATTTAGCAGCAGAGGAAGCAGATTGTTGGGAGGGGGAGAGGAAGACCCCATGTGACTCTGTTAACAAGCTGTGACAAAGATGATATAAACAGAGAGATGGAGCCTAGAAGAACAAAATGGCAGTGAAGAAAACAGTCTCTGATGGACTGATTATCTAACCGAGTGAGCATCTTATGACTAGCTGGATGACTAAGTTTATGTCAGCCAGGACCAGTTCTAGTACTGCTGGACTGGTAAACAACAGAAGAAGTGAGTATTCTCCTTGAACTGACAGCACAATAACATTTTATTTCTCTACCCTGAGTTATCAGCACCTGCGTCCAGATTTAAGAATAAATCAAAGCTAGGATACGCTCATCTTCAGGTTAAAAATCCCTCAACGTTTTGAGTAAAATACCAAATTGACCAAACAAGATGCCCAGCGGACAATTAGGAGGCAGAAGTACGGTGTAGCCATGTCCAGCTTTGTCTGTGCAGAAAAACACAACCTGGATGTGTTCACTTCTTTTAAAGCCAGACAGGCTGTTCAGGGTGGTTGTCTTTTGACCGATGCCAGCTGGAATGTCCTGACAGCCACTTGTAACTCTCCACAGGAGAAAGTGTTTTTGGCTGAAAGAATGGATGGAATGATGGCTCCCCAACATCTTTTGGATTTTTCACTTGTGCATCAACGAAGGCCTAATTCACTGAAGGAGTGCACAGGGCCAGTCCATTTTTATGACAGAGTTGTAGATGAAGATCATCTAATGCTGGAAAAACAGCAGAGTTAATATACATTTTGGTCAAATTCTAAAAATAACATTAAATGCAATTTCTTGCATTGTTATATAAGATCATTTGTAAGAAGTTAGAGGTGTGGTGTAAATTCAGTATCTGTAATATTATTGAGGTTGTACACAATAATGTCTACCTTGAATTGGACTCCAAGTATTAATGGGTTATAGATGCACATTCAGTAATTATGTTGAGAGTTTACAAATTTATGTCTAGTGGCACAGTGGTGCAGTGATTCAAGCTGCAATAAGGTCGTGCAATTGTACCCCACCTGGGTGTTTTCAATCCAGATTCCTCCTACTGTCCAAAAGCATGTATGTTAGGTTAACTGGTAACTCTAAACCATCACTAGGTGTGAATTAGCATGAATGATTGTCTTGTTTGYTATGTGGTCCTGTGATGGACTTTGTCCTGGGGTGTCCCCCATGACCCCTGGTGATATGCACCAGGTTTCCTGTGACCCTGCATGGAAAAGCATAGAGAGAAAATGAATGGATGTTTCTTGAGATACTGTACCAATAGACAGACAGCATTAAATCAAACAGTTATTGACAAAACTTGAAGCATGGAAGTTGCACACAGTGTAGGGCTCACATTATGTATGGAGAATAACTTCCAGCTATATCACTCAAAGTTTTAACCCAATATCTCTCAAACTGAAAAAGCTACAACACTTTTGTCCTGGCTATAGCTGCCATTTTATACATGTACATTCAGCTATGGCCTTAAAATCTCTCCAGTAGTTCTTGGAAGCAGAGAAAAATGAGGGGTAAGGTCAGAAAAAGTTAAAGCAATAATCTATAGTGAAACTGTTGCTTGTAAAATGAAACCAAACAATTTTCTGACATATAAAAACATGTCTAAAGCTTTGCAAGGGAAACTAAAATTTTAATTTGCTTTAAGCATAAAACTGATGAGAAAAAGTGATAATGTACAGAATGGAACTGAATTATGAAAAAGAGGTAGCTAGAGCTAATTAGAATAATGAGGTTTTTTTTATTAATAAAGAATGCCAGGAGTGAAACATTCATTTTTTTGAAAATATTCAAATTGAGTACAAAAAAAGAGAAAAAAAAACTTTAGTGAGACAGATAATACAAAATATTGTGGGAGGTTACACATCATCTTATCATTCATCCAAGAGGCCAAGAAATGTGTGTAGGCATATCAGCAGTCACGAATCAGCATGGTCTCAGTTATTTATGACTAATGCATCATGTCTACATGAAAGATCAGACTTTCTGGATTGTCTCCATGTATTTATACAGTAAGTCTCATAACTCTGTGTGCATGTGTAAATGTGAATTTGTCTAATAAATAAACACAAGAAAGACTGAAACAGGAAAAAAAGAAAAAAAACATTAAATCTTTTTGAAGCGTATGAGATTCCTGCAGATCAGTGGGGGAATAAAACCATCATGTTGGGTTGATGGCTTGAAAACTGAAAAGGAGCTGACTGTATTGTTAGCATACAGTCCAGATCACAGCACACTGATGAACAGATTGTCCAACTGAGCAAAGTGAGATCCAAATCCTCAGTATGTCTGGCTTGATTCACCTTTTATTCTTGTTCACTTTCCTCAGTAAACTCCGAATGAGACATCCTGATATAAAAACAAACAAAGAAAACTGAATTTGAAACTCAACGTTTGAAAAACAGTTCAATTGAACCTTTAAAAATGAAATTCCTTGAAGGAATGCTTTCATGTCAGAGTCTTTGGCCATAATCATCTTATGATGAGTTAAAGCTSTGTAGGTCAAACCTTGTCAGTGGTGTTGTGTGTGTTCTCATGTGATCATGAAACATGTTCTCAGAGTATGTGTTGAGGATGACTCTCAGCTACTACCACATCAAATTTTAGCTGTAGCTTAAACTAAATAATAGTCACTGATATGTCGTATTTTATAGGGTCAACTAGCTCTTGCTATTTTAAGTTGAAATGTCTCCAAAAGTGAACCAGTTGTGGATGTGTGTCCAGTGATCACTTCCTGTGAGTTTCATTCAAACACATCCGGTTGTTTMTGATATATTTTGACAGTCAGTATTAACTCAGTTAATGTAGCACAAAATGTTTCACCAGATGATTGGAGAGGATTCTCAGTTACCACACATTAATTACAAAAGTCACCACGTGTTTACTCAGTATGTGGTAAACTGTTTGAATTGGTAGGGTAGTGAGATGATTGTTTCTGTTATATTTTAATTTGTGTGTCTGTGTGTTTAGGTCCTCCCCTGCGTGTCTGATTCCCATGTGTCTTCCCAGGTGTTTCCACTTATGTCACCCGTTAACTCACCTTTATATTTCATGTCCTGACTCAGTTCCCCTGTCAGCACATTGTGCAGTGTTGTGCTGTCTCCAGCCAGTTTGGTATGTCTTCCTGTGCACTTTGTGTTTCTCATAAGTTTTGTAAGTTTTTTAAGCTGCCATCCCCTTGCTTTTCTTTATTAAATAATAATTTTTGCTCTGACTTTTGCCTGTTTCATGGGTTTTTCTGTATGCAAACTGAAACATAGCTGTTCCTGTGTTTGCTAAGGTCAATTGGCTATGGCAGCCATCTTGAATTATTTTTTTATTGAGCCCCTCTCCCCCTCCAGGCTGAGGGGGAGAGTGAGGGCACCCGCAGAGGCGCRYGGCGTTCGGCCGGACCGGAGACCACTCGCCGCGCTCGCTTAAGGTTCCGAGGGCAGACCCTGGCTGAGTCGCCGGGCGCAGTCGCCCGTCGCCGGTCTCCACACGAGGCCCGCGTGCCGCGATGCCCCTCCAACCCGGGGTAACGCGGTGTCGGGCCTCGTGCTTCACGGAGACGGCGGCGGACGCACAACGCGTGTCCGGCGGGCAGCAGGGCCCAGACTATGAGCCCGCGGCGTACGGAAGGGGGCGCGCTCGCGTCGCCCGGTTACCCCCGGAGGGGCTCCAGACGACGGAGGGGCGCATCCCGCGACCTTCGCCGCGGACCCATGGGTGTGCTCTAGTGACCCGTGACGTCACCGCCGCACGTCCGCAGCCGCTCAGCCCGGTAGTGGGAAACCCACCCCGGGTGGTCAACAACGGGCCGCGCGACAGACRGCCGCTCCGGGCCGGAGCGATCGGTAGGGACAAGGAGCAGCCAAACCCCCCGGTGGGTGGGACCCCGCAGTCCCGCGCCCAGCGAGCTGGTCTCGGCCCTCCACCGGTAATGATCCTTCCGCAGGTTCACCTACAGAAACCTTGTTACGACTTTTACTTCCTCTAGATAGTCAAGTTCGATCGTCTTCTCGGCGCTCCGCAGGGACCGTCGCCAATCCCCGCGGGGCCGATCCGAGGACCTCACTAAACCATCCAATCGGTAGTAGCGACAGGCGGTGTATACAAAGGGCAGGGACTTAATCAACGCGAGCTTATGACCCGCGCTTACTGGGAATTCCTCGTTCATGGGAAATAGTTGCAATCCCCGATCTCCATCACGAGCGGGGTTCAGCGGGTTACCCACGCCTCTCGGCGAAGGGTAGACACACGCTGGCCCGCTCAGTGTGGCGCGCGTGCAGCCCCGGACATCTAAGGGCATCACAGACCAGTTATTGCTTAATCTCGCGTGGCTGAGAGCCACTTGTCCCTCTAAGAAGTTGGACGCCGACCGCACGGGGCCGCGTAACTATTTAGCATGCCGGAGTCTCGTTCGTTATCGGAATTAACCAGACAAATCGCTMCACCAACTAAGAACGGCCATGCACCACCCCCCACAGAATCGAGAAAGAGCTATCAATCTGTCAATCCTTTCCGTGTCCGGGCCGGGTGAGGTTTCCCGTGTTGAGTCAAATTAAGCCGCATTAATTTGACTCAATTAATTACGCACGTGGGTTCAAGGACTCTAAAGAGTAAACCCGACATGTAAAACTAAGTTATAGTCAGTTTTGAGAAACTGAGTTTAAGCCTGACCAGATGAATGAATCAATGGCTAGTCAGAGCAGGTTAAAAACCAAAGAAGTATTGCTAGCACCTTAATGCAATGCAGGGTTTCCGACAGCCTGGTGGGTCACCAAGCCTTACTTGCCTCCTTTCTTGTACATTCTACAGGCACTGAAACATAAAATAAATTTGAAGCTTAGCTTTTGAAAAAAATCTTTAAGGTTTCTTTTCATGTCCATATAGCCAACCAGCAAAATGGGAGAAAATCTGTGTAATATACGGACAATCCGTACAARTTGACATGTGCAGTATGAAGTTTTCTGGGAGAAATCCTGCAATGTCAAATATTTCGTAGCATTCTATGCAAATGTGGTCTTGGCTCCACTCAAACTCTCCCTAAATTGAGGTTTTTCAAAAAACTATGTACAACAGGTAAGTTATTAATTGTTTATATTCTTTCCACAGAACTCCTTTCAACATWTGTTAAACTTCTGACAGCTAAATTAAACCTTAGCTGTTGAACTGTAATACTTTGGCATAGCAAACAGAGCTACATGATTCTTTATTCTAAGAGATTAATCTGTATAGCAGTTAGGTAGTAGAACCAAAAATCAGAATATGAAACAAACTGATGCTGCATTTTTTGCATATTTTTCCTTTTATTTAATTTGTTTTTTCATAAAGCACAGGGATGTTTTGAATTGATTTTCATCTGTAATAGAAGCTCCAGGTCCTTCCAGCTCTTAATTGAATCAGAGCGAGTCGGTTATGCTTTTTTTCTGACTGCATGTGCAGAAAACAATTTGGTAAGTACAAACCGGTTACCATGGATTCACTTCCATCTTTGTGAGATATCTGTATGTTGTGGGGGAATCTGTGAACACCAACACTGTCATCAGAATTTTTTTTTTCAGTAGCAAGAAATATGGCTTTGCAGAAGACATTCATGCAGACATACTCTCATTCCATCTGGTTCACATTCAAGGGTCCCACAGTTTTATCAAACACATCATGGTGCCAGTATTTGATTAGCAGCTAGAAACACAAAATGCTGATTTCGGAAGTCGAAAAGCGAGTGCTGCGTCGTTCAGCTGCAAAGCAAATTGCTGCAACTTCTCTGCAGGGCTGAGAGGTGTGTGACAGGATTACATCGAGGGCGGCAGACTAGACACGAGCAACATCACCAGAAATACATTACGCTTTACACAATCATAAGAAAACAGTTTGTACCAAATCATGATATGCAATATAGAAAACTTAAATCACACAGACATTACTTAAAGAAACAAATACTGTTAAAAACAAACAGAACTTTGTTTTTTCCTCACTGAGTGATAAAGTCAGCACTACCAAATGAGCATTTAGGAAATCACTTGTAGCATTTAACACAATCACAGTGACAGAAATGAAAAACAATAAAAACAGAACTTTGTGTCATTGCATGGTAATATAAAAATAAAACAACCTTGACATCAATGCAGCTTTATTACATAATCGTACAGAAACCTGTTAAACTCTTTGCCTCTGTGATTCTGTAAGGTTGAACGGTCCAACTCATCCTTATCAAARGAAGATGACGGTACAGTTTTATCTGATGCAATCATTTCTTTTATAATGTAGCATGTCCATTAAAGCTGTTAATGCCAGAAGTTGAACCACCTTGCTGCCTTCGAAAAGGTGATCCTGTAACTATAGGTCACTCACTGCAGAAGTAAACACATGAGCGTGTACACCAACACAAAGAACAAAACAGATATGCCACTCTTTACAGCTTGATTGCACTATCTCTTAGTCCACTGGGAGGCGTCCTGCCTCCTGAAAGCATGACACACTCTAAACTCCAACTGAATGCACCCATTGACCATCCTGACTCCTAAGTTGACCGATCAAACAGGAACACCATTGGCCCATTTCCTCTGGTCACYCTTCACTGCTTGGGGCTTGAGGGGTTCAGTCTCTGAGCGGCGTGGCAGGGGTCCAGGGACTCCTTGGTGGCGCCACCATAAACATCTACGTCCTGGTCGGTCCAGGGGGCAATGTTSCCCAGTGCTGAGGAGCTGCAGTCCGCAAGAGCGGCCACCTCYGCAGGCTTCAGTACCCGGTCCCACAGGTTGAACTGGGATAGCTCACCAACCAGAGCCTGGGAGGCGTCGAAGCGCCCGCCAAGTGTGTCCTTAGGWAGAGAAGCAGAAAAGTTGTCATGAYTGGTTGTAAGAATGCTGTGAGKTTCTATTGTTATGGGTGAYRTGGTAAASCCTTCCAAGGTTTTGCTGCTAATTTTTGAGGAAYAGAGTTTAATTCTGACCAAAGTGATGAGCGAATGGCTCATCTGAATGAGCTCAAGACTAAAGAGGATTCCTGCTTTCATAAAACAACTCCAGGCTTAAAAKGTTTTATAGCGATTCATGCAAACACTGTTTTATAAATCTCCTCTTTGCCATGGATCTTGCATTAYACAGGTATTCTGGTAGCCTGGTTAATGCTTTCCTACACAGTTCTACTCGATTAAAATCTCCGTTCACTGCGCCGTTTGGACTTTACATTGACATGAATTTCTCTGGTGGAATTTCAATCAGGCCAATCAGCTAACAGAAGGAGGAGATGTGAACGATGACATTGATTTTCCACACTGTTACATTCTGTCTGTAATTTAGCAATGGGAGGAAGTGAATGTAGTCATTCAGTCCATGTTAACAAGGCTTCCAAATTAAATAAAAATTTTCTTGCAAAGCCTGCAGCACTCATTTACAGCCATCTTGTTCAGCTCATTACTTCTCTCTTCACAGTAGGGGATGATTCTTTACAGCGCACGCAAGTTCCAGTTAGCTTCTTAGCTTAACTTCCTTCATGGTCAAGCTGACGCACTGCATGAGTCACAGCCAAATGTTAGCAATTGGGTAAAATCAGATTCAGTCATTTAAAAGCTAAGGGTCCAGACCCTCTGTATGAAGCAAAGCATAGAACAAGGGGCTGGTTTTTATCCTGCTAGTATTCTGGTAGAAACATTGGGTCTCTTGCAAGAACATGTTCATATTCTTATCCTAAATTTCTCTTACTTTTGTTCGTACGAAGGGTTCGTACGAACATGCCACGTCAGATTCAACAAACTATTCTATCTTCAGGAAAAGTGTGTAAATGAGGAGCGTAAACTGATGAATGTGTATCAGGTGCTCATGCACGAGGAGAGGAGATTATCATAATTACCTCCCCAAAGACACCATATAAGGATATACGTTTCCTGCTACACATACAAGGAAGTGTCCATTCTTTACGAGTTCAGAGATTGAAGTTCTGCTCTCGGAGATCCACAAAAAAATAAATAGATAAAATAAAAAGTCATTTTAGCAGCATCAGCTGTAGAATTAAAGGATCTGCTTTAAATGACGACTGCTGTTAATGCCGTGTCTYCYGTGGGTCGTTACAGTCACAGAGATAAAAATCTAAATCATATTCATCTCTCTCTGTAGTCCTGCTCTGGTTTTTCTTTGGTCAAATACTTTTAATTTCAATGTAAACAACTGTGTTACATAGGTTTCACTTATCCAGAGGAGCGGTCGCGCACTGCAACCCGTCAAGCGTCAGATGCGTTTTGGAAAAAAAAAAAATTTAACTGTCTCAAAACTTCAGTTAACTTCATATTAATATTGTAGTTCTATACAACAAAATTAATACCCAATTTATTTTAATTTAAACAATTTATGTTGTTAGTTACATTTAAAATTATATTCTAATTCAAGCCTCTTGTCAACACAGAGTGTGATTTATTTTCAACTCGAAATATCTTCAAACTAATGAAATATAAAGTTATTAATGAAGAAAATCCATCTGGATAACAGCAGACTGACTGCGCATAAAATATACGACAGGTCTGGACCACTCGTGAATTTTGTTTGTATCTGAAAAAAAATCTTAGAATACGAAAAAATTGGTGAATGCCACAAATTCTCATAAATCACTCGTACGCACAACTTAAGAACAAATCTGTGTGTACGAATGGTTCTTGCATGAGGCCCAATGTGATATTTTTGCCAGATGTAGAAATGCTACAGCTAGCTGCAACAGCCACTATAGCCACTTCTGTATTAAATGCCACTCTAATCACTTTAGTTCTTCTCAGACATTTGTGCAAGCAAATAAACAAATAATTTTGCATAGATAGCCATGTAAAACAAAGTTATCAACAATGTAAAAGATTACTGAGTAGAGTTCACAAGAATTGCAGAGACATGTTTGACATTGCAGTTGTTTTAAAACAGTAGCACTTCATTTTGGTCTTGCCCCAGTTCTTAGTTCGTCATTATTTTTAGATATAAACTCTGTTTCTTTAAACTGAGTTCATATTATAAATAAAAAAAACTGGACTGGAAGGCGGCAGTTGAAGCCACAAAAGATGAGCCCCCCCCCCCATTAGGCTGATTGGAGTGTGTGAAATTTGGTGGTTTGGTTGGACCCAAAATGCAGACCTATGGTGAACTCAGAGGATTAGCTGTAATGACTTTAATAACAAAATGAAAATACAGAGCTTACAGGGCGGCATAACTTACAGCAAAAAAGAATATATGCTAAAATCTGATAAAAAAAAAGAAGCAAAACACTAGGGAGTCTAACACAGTGAACTGGGAGGTGGAAAGAAGCTAATTAGGAACTGGGCTGATGAGACATGGGAGGCAGCAGGGGCTGATTAGGGAGTGGCAACAGGTGTGACTGACTGGAAAAMTACTGAGAGTGAAAACTGAATGGCACAAAGAAACAATAAAAYTATAAATGTTGTTTTTTTTCAGTTGTTGATCTTTTTTATTCATGTAGTTCTTAATGCTTATATGTTCATATGAGCATTTTTAGATACATATTTCAGTTAGTCATTTGAAGTTGGAAAAAGTGCCATGTTACAATGTGACAGCCTATTAGTGAGCTGGGAGGGTGTGCATGTGCAGTATAAAACAATCTCATTTTGAGACAATGGGGGTTAGTAGACTATCTATCTATCTATCTATCTATCTATCTATCTATCTATCTATCTATCTATCTATCTATCTATCTAT